ATTAACGTGAATATCTTCACAACGGAATTTTTCAACATATATATGTATCTATCTTTCTGTAGACAATTTCCTGACTACATCTGACATCATGAAGTTCAAAGGAAAAATACCATAAAGCAGTAAAGACCACTGCATATGTCTAGAACATAAAAGGGAAAAACAAGGCAGCTCTCTGGGTGCCACGTACAGTATCAGGTTGTGGTAGAAGGGAGACTGGACACCTAGCAAGGGAGCAGAAGCTGGAGGAGACCACCACATGGTGATATGACATATCAGGTGGACAATTTGCCTGGTCTGTCCACGCTGCATGCTCCGGTCCACACTCAGGGGCAAATGAGCACTCACTTTGTTCCCAAAGCTTTAATTCATCTTTATGCCATCTCTCCAAAACCTGCCAGCCCAGTAAAATCATCATAACTCTTCCTTACACTACAAACCAAGCTAGTATTTCATAGCTTTTGTGACATTTTTTGAAATAAGCAACAATTTGTTAACAACAAATTAAGAGAACATGTTTGGAGCACAGAAGAGAAAGAGTAACTTAGTTAAGTTCCTTCTGAATGAAAGTCATGAGCAGTTCTAGAGCATTCTATCAGGACAAAAAAATTGGAAGAGTTTCACAAATATTAAGGCATTGAAATCATTAACTCTTTAAGCTGAGGTAACAGCACTAACATGACACTGAGGGTCAGATCACAGAACAAAACTGAATTCATCTCACAGAAATACATTCTTTACAGATCTTCTCCTGTCACTACTAAACCACACAACTTAATCAGTAAAGGAGAAATAAAGATAAGAAAAGGCAGTATGAGGCATTCCCAACGCTACGTTTGGCTTCAGAACTTTTGGCCTCCTCTTTAAGGGCAAAGCTAACTCACCCGAGATATCCTGTCCTAACTAACCACTGCTGCCTAACAGGCTGCTTCTGCCAGATAAGGTATTTTGGGTTTTTATATTCTTGTAAAATAGCTTTATTCTGTTATCTGTTCTTAAAAGACCAACTCAGCTTGTTTACACTCCTTACATCAACAGCTGGAAGACATCCCAGAGAGCACGTGTCATCCTACTCAGGTATAGAGGGAAAGCACACCCTACAATGTAGTCATACAATGAGAATATTCATCTTGTAGGTCCACTTCAGTCAATGCATCTTTCTTATATTTTACCCATTATCGCAGGAACATTCTCTAGTGACACTGGTTAAGTAGAAAGGGAAAAAATACTGCTGTGTAACACAACCAGACATCTTGTAGTATGCTACTATATCACTTTTACTAGATGCTTATTGAGGGCGTAAGTAGCTGGGCATGAAAGACAGAAGATTAACACTAACTTTCTTGTTTCACGCACTCTTATCAGCAAGAAGAGGCATGCATTTATCCTAACTGGGAGATTCATCCTATTTCAGATTTAAACAGCTCTCAGAATGAATCAGAGCTCAATAGCAATTAGGTAATAATCACTTTTGCTCCAGCATAACAACTCTGCAGGTAGAAAAGGGCTGTTAATGTTCCAAGCTAAAAGGTAATAAAGAATGCAGAACTAAAACGTGGCAGGAAAAAAAATCATTCTGCTTTTGCTCTTCACTGTGAAATATATATGGCAGAAAAAATCACCAAATTCTTTTCAGAAGAGATCGCTGTTTGCTTGTTAGCATCTAGAAAGTGAGGATGATCACACTAGCAACACGCCTAACTTTCAGCTGATTTGGCTTGATTTTTCCATTTCACCTCTGAGCTTCAAATTCTCCATTTGCCAACACTTTCCTATCTCTTACTTCGTCTTACACAGACTGTCCTATCAGTATTTGTGAAGTAGTCACGGACTGCGGAGTTTTCTGGCTTTGAAGAAGTACCGACTATTTGCAGGTCCGCTGTACACATCACAGACTGTGTCTGGAAGAATCAGCATGGGACAGACTCAAAGGAATTCCCCATTCTGGCCCTGGTTTTGCCCCTGAACTGCTGCGCTGTCTTTAACTAACTCTCATGCACGCAACTCAGCCCTCAACACAGGTGCTCACATGACATGTGCTAAAAAGTCATAGCTGCAAGCATGCACATGCTGCTGCAACCTGAATGCTTGCATCCTTGGACCCTTTAGCTATATGTGTTTTTCCCAGAATTTATCCATGCATATGTGACAGAGATAAACAGACACTAGTTCAACACTTGTGCCTAAGTATCCCCATCAGTAGTTAAACTGCAGTCAACATGATTAATAGAAATGCCTCTGTACGTCTCTCTGCAAATGATGAATGCTCTAATTATGCCTCATATATGCAAGACAAGTAGGCAGACACAAAAAAAACCCAACTTTCTGGTTTTAAGTGAATTATATAACTTTTAAAAAACACAAGAGAATCTCCACTTATCTCCTTCATTCATTACAAGATTAATTTACCTGTTTTCAGAAACTGTCTTCCCTGGACACATCTATGTTATTTCAAAAATGGAACACATATAGTGAGGGGTTATCCTACATGTCTATTTTGACATGAGGAGCTGGTAACTACTTGAAAAGCAGTGACTGAGAATTAACAGTAAAAGTCTCTTGGGTTTTTGTTACTTATTTTACAAATTTGCTGATGACAATTCTCTGACAAAAGTTAGAATCTCTTAATTTTTTTCCAAAATATTGCAAATGTGAATGTGGAATTAAAAAAAAAAAAAAAAAAAAAGAGAGACACAAATACATATGATAAAGCAAAGCAGACTCAAACACAATTCTTCAGAGATCTTACAAGATCAAAATGATGCTATAAAGTCCAGCAGGATAAAACTGTGTGAATAAGAGCACATACAAATAACAGTAAAAATACAGGTAAGGTAAAATAATACCATACACCAGAAATCACAGGCACAAGTATTTCAAATACATTGGAAGAGATGAGAAATCTGGAAAGCTCCAAGCTAATGACATGGAGCACTCTGAACTAAGGTGCCACTTACCAGCACGTAATGAGTATGAAACAGTTTAACCTCACCATCTCAAAGGAAACACTAACTTTACATGTCCTTTAAATTTAAGGCTTAGGAATGATGAAGACAAATTCAGAACTACAACTGAGAATGACATCTTCCTTGCTTCCACAGGTGGTTTGGATGTTTGCTGACTGTTGTTCAGGTGTTCTGTGTATGTAATCCTTGCACAATACACACAGAAATCCAAAACTCCACCATAAAAAAAAAAATCACCCCCCCATACCATACCAACCACCTGCCAAATTGTACCTTCAGATACACGCCTTTGACCTCATTTATTTAAATCACAGCTTCATCATGCATTTGAGAACTATGAAATGATTCTATTTAGCAGATTAAACACATAGATGAGAGAAATAATGTTAGAGAGGCACATAAAGACATTTTGCAGAAAGCTGTTATGAGTTGAAGGAAACTTCACGAGGCTGAAAGGAGTCACCTCTTGGCTAATCAATTTGTCAGACTGTAGTTCCCCTTGCTAAAGAGCCTTCTCTACATTATCTCCTAAGAACTACTCCCCTTCTAGCATATTTACAATTTCATAACATGCGGAAAGCCCCTCCCTCATCTATCCCATGGGCTCAGGCAGCAAAAGCAGTTGTGTTTGTTCTGTTGCCTCATGTTTCACCCACATGCACAGAACTGAGGGGCTTGATTTGCCCTTCCAAAATTATACGCAACATACACCAGATATGTTTGTAACCACTGCTAATTTCTTCAGAAAGCTCTTCCTTTACCCACCACTACCATTAATGCACTGCCAACATCTCCAAAATTATTTAAGTCCAAAAGTTTTATTTTTTCCATAGTGTAAAAAAGGGTCAGTCTGCTCCTAGGTAAATAAAAACACTAAGCACTGATTTTATTTAAAACAGCAAAAAAGAACAAATACTGGATTCTGTACCATTGCTGATAAAGAGCCTTGTTAGTGTCTTCTGACTAGTCCTTGCAGCACCTATAAGGCAGCTCTTCTCACAGTTTTTTGTACAAAAATGTTTCTTTATATACAGTATATCTGCTGCCTACCTTTAAGAAATAGTGTAAACTGTTCTCCCAGTCACTGAAAGTGCATATATAGGACTATTCAAAGTTTGCCAAGAACTGATGGAATACCACAAGATTTATTGTTGCAATTTACTGAACAGCTTTAAAAACTGCTATTTAAAGCACTCCTGTTCACTTACATACACTAAAAAGTCTTTTTATGAAAGCAGGATCATTTAAGTCCAGTCCATGCATGTCTCTTTTATTCTTTCATCCTGTCTTTCAATTCTGAAAGTATATTTTAACAGCTTGTCAAAAATGCCATCTCCCTTCCATCACCAGCACTACTGGAAGAAGAATCTAGGGAAATATTTTTTACAAAGTAGCTCAAAAACTTCTTATTATTGTCAAAAGATTAAATATTGCAGCCTGACATACAAGGGCATTTAAAAAAAAAAAAACTACTGTGCAAAGGCAAGAAGGAATGTGGTATATGTTGATTCACCAATTTAGTTTTTAATAAGTACATCATAGCTATAAATAACAGCAAGCTCTAGAAAACACTGAGAAACAAAAAGGAGAACAATGGCCCAGTGCATTCATTCCTGCAATGGAATAATACATCAACAGAAGTACTTCAGCTACACTTTTCTAAGAAATAGGTCTCTTCTGTATCATAGCCAAACCATTTCAGTAAAGTACCTGGCCCACAGAAATACTTCAGGAAGGACTGCAGATCATCATTTCTATATTCCAGCCTCAGTACACCCTCATGCTTAACTTCATCACAAATGTCAGCAGAATTCCCATTTCCTAAATTAATGCATCTTATATCGATGTTGTTCTCTAAAAAAATTTTAGAAGGTAGGTGCTATTGTCTGAAAATCAGCCTATAATTACAAATACAAAAAGGGCACTTGTGATATTGACCATCACGAAACTGACCTTTGCAAGGAAATTAATTTGTCAACCATTTATTTCATACTGAGTAGGTTGTTAAAGGGAGAGATCTTTGAATACTTTGTTTACCTTCACAATATGCAGAGTCCCCTTGGACAGAGAGATAACCATTCTTGCACTCACAAGTAGCTTTTGTGTTCCAGTTTTTGCACTCTGAATTTTCACCACATCTGTGTCCCGCTGCACAGAAGTTATGGCCTGGAATAAAAGGAACATGCAACCTGGTATTAAAACATGTTTACTTCAGATATTCAGGTTTAGTATCTACACTGACTGTATTACCCTGAAAAACTCCGGCATGCTACATTCCAGAAATTTTCTCCATAAGCCCATACGGTGAACAAGGGCTTTTTAGATTCTTCCATCAATTAATTGTCAGTAAAAACCATTTTGTTCAAAAATGTATTTATATGACTAGTTTTAGTCAGGAAAAAAGACAACTTCAAAGCAGGAAGCCATGGCAATACGTTAGTCTTCTACTGAACCCACGTAGGATAAAATGCCACCTTATCTCGAATTGCCAAGAAGTGCAATACAAAGTTACACCAAAAGGATAATAAAGTGTAATATAAAAAAAAATCCTTCACACGTCTCTTATTATGCATAATCAAGCACGCTTTTAGAAGAGCAAAAATGAGACGTTTCACTAGAATACGAAACTAACTATACTGGTAGCCAAAATAACCTCATGCAGAGCCTTGTAATTCTGTCATCAAAAGTAACTGGATTGTTTCTACAGTTTATAATTAAGCTCTCCACTCGAAGTACTGTAAGACATAACTAAATACCCTACAGAAACTGACAACAGGATTTTTTTTCCCCAATTGGTGTATTTTTGATGGATTTTTCTCTATTAATCATAGAATGATTTGGGTTGGAAGGGATCTTAAAGACCATCTAGTTCCAACCCCCCTGCCATGGACAGGGACACCTCCCACTAGCCCAGGTTGCTCAAAGCCTCATCCAGCCTGGCCTTGAACCCCTCCAGGGATGGGGCATCCACAGCTGCTCTGGGCAACCTGGGCCAGTGCCTCACCACCCTCACAGGGAAATATTTCTTCCTAATAACATCTAAGAGTCAATTTCTGTTTCCCTGAGATATATAAACAGTCATTTTTTTACTTCTTATTTTTTCTGGATTTTCTCTCCTGGAAGGAGGGAAACCAGAAACCCAGACATACCATCAGCTACTTGTATTCCAACTTGCACCAATACAAGAACAGCTTCTGCCCATTCTGCCTGGTCATAGAGCAGCAAACTAAAAGTTCTAGTTCACTGATCCTAAACTTTCCTAATGTCCTCTAGAGACAGATAAGAAAAAGATGACCTGGACTCCGAAGATCTAAATTCCAGATTCAGATATTTGTTCATATCCCTTGCTCTGATATTTGTTAAGAAACTTCAGAAGACTTTAGCTTATACTAAAAATAGTTTTCATCTACACTAAGCAAATTTTCATAGGCCTATCCTGAAGCTGTTGTTCACTGAGGTTTTTTTATTTGTTTTTAAACATGCACTTCAGTCATCTACTAATTTAAAACTCAGGTTTTGCCATTTTAGTGCACTCCAACTTCATGAGTCTGATCATCGAACATTGGGTTGTGAGGTCATTTTTTAAAAAGCGTAACACTTGTTAGCAAGGACCACAGTTTGTCAGTGTAAACATCCAACTCCACATTTAAATTTCACATTAATTTCATTAACTACCAAGGTATCTTCCTTGTGCACAGTTAGCTCATTCTTCCATTGTAATCCAACTTGCAAAAAAACCAACTCTATTAATGAAAACTGCAGATATCCCTTCTAGCCTTCATTCATTTCACAGTCTGGTAAAAACCACTCAAGTATTCCAGATACAGCCTTGTCAAGCCTGGGCACATTTTATCCTGGTAAAAAAGGGCGCAGTTACACTGCCCTTAGTCATTTATCCAATCACAGAATTTCACTTCTCACTTTTACCTTTATAATCGAAACTAAACACTGGAACCCATCTCCCCAAACTTATCCATTCAGCATCTAATTTACACTCCCCACGCAGGATTACTATTCTGTTGGCATTATAGATAACATCCAAGAGACAAGAAGTTTTATAACATATCTTTATCACTGTTTCCCCTGAGACTATGACATCCTAGTCTCTTTCCCACTCCTTTAGAATAATAATTCTCCTTTGAACTCATATACAGTATTAGTTTTATAGTTGATTAGTATTGGTAGATACTACTACTCAGAACCAAAGCTATATATCAGTGCATTAAACTAGGCACTATAAAAACACCAGAGTTTCATTTAGTGTGGATTGTTACTGTCTCAGGACATTTTAATTTTATTTAATTATTTATTTGTATTTCCCCCTCATCCAAGCCTGTAAAAATGATTTCATCTTTCTCAACACGTTCTAGTTGCAATAGTCTTTATACAACATTCTGCACCAAAAAAAAACTTTGATTCTGGGCTCTCTTCATCCCAGTGAGTCAACATTTTACCCTGTGATCAGCAGTTCATGGCAAATTTAACACCTAAAATCAGCCAAGGGGATGGCTTCTCAGGGTTAACTTTCATCAGAAGTCCCAAGTCCCAGATCAACCACTCTTCTCTAACAGCACTTTTTCTCAAGCACAAGCCACTGATTAGTTTTCAATATCACATCATAGCCCTAAGAATGCTTCACTGTTTATTTGCCACCTCTGAAATTCACCGGTAGATATGACAACTACCCTAACTACCCATTTTGTACCACTAGAGCTGTCACCTTTTGTCAGAAATTCTCTGGAAAAAACCTGTATTGCTTCTGGTCCCTTACTATCAACTCAAATATGAACTGTCTCCATTCAGAATCAGATTCTTTCCTGTTTTCAAGCTTGAAAGCTGATAAAAGAGCACAGAAGGAAGAAAAAAAATAATGCTCCAGTTCTGTAACTGGTGTAATTAGAGGTTTTAAAGAATTTTTCATTGTTCTCCTCTCATTAATACACAATGGTAAAACACCTACTACATCTCTAGGTTGCCTTGGCATTTATTATCATAGAAGACCTGTGAAACACTGTCTCCTACCTTTTAAATATACTGACTAGAAGTGACTCAACCTCCATTTCCCATAGCATTGCAGAATATTTGTTCAACACCTCCGTAAATGGGAAGTGGAAGCCATTCCTGTTAAAAGCATGTATGGTTCTACGACACTGTCTGTTACAAAGCTTTTACAAAACAACTGTAATTTAAGGTTAACCAACAGGAAAAGAAAAAAATGTACTTGATGGTATAGAAGAGTCCAGGTTCACTGTGCCTCTATCGGAGCGGGCATACCATTGATCGGATCAGAGGCTTTTCCCAGTACTTTACTTTTGCAGTGAAGATGCACATTTAGCACTTCAAAAGAGCTAAGAGGTGCATACCAAGGAAGTGCAGTTCTTGCATTTCCTTGACTGTGATCTGCATTCTCCCCAGCTGAGGCTTTGGAGGTAAGAAAGGGATAAAATGCTGTCCACTTAGTCCATATTGGGCCTGAGTGCTTTTCCAGCTCTTCTGGCAAATAAAGGCCACCTCATATCTGGACTGCAATGTGAAGAAATAAGCTAGTTGTGTTCTTCTCACATTTAACAATCCCAATTCAATGTCTAATTTAACTAAATATGTGAATTCTTTCTTATTCAGCAAAAAGAGTCAGGAACGTACACAGGGACACTGCCTGCAATGACCACGCTCATATACCTGAGTGAACAGGGAAGGACCTAAGCACTGACTTAAACATCAATCTATTCATGGCAAATCTATTCACTACTTATCCCCAAGCAAGTGGAAAAGAATGCAAGCATCTGATTTTTATTAATTCTTTGGTGTGAAATGGATTATAGAGTTCCTTTAGAATACCTACACAGATGGCAAAACCACCCGTTGATACAGCAGCAGGATCTCTGAACCTCAACCATGGGTGACAGCTAGCAGTGGGCATGCATTCGGGTTGCCCAGGTGAAAATAACGGAATTACTGAGACTTCAGAATATTCAGCAAAGTCTTATCTGGGACAGTCAGCTCCTCTCTAAATATAAGCAATGGCTTAAAATAGAAACATCACATCTGAGCAAGCAGGCAATTGGAGAGGATTTAACAGAAGCACACAAAATCTTAAATAGTTCTGATAATCTAAACTAATTTCATGCCAACACAGATGACAAGACAAGTAAGCATGAATTAAAATTACAGATAAACACATTCAGAACAGATGTCAGAAACCATTTTCCCCACACACAGACACACAGTCATAAATGTGCACAACAGCCCTGCAAAGTAATTCAAAACATTCAAGATACAAGTAGGTACTATCAACAGGGGAATTAAATATTGAAGAGTGTGGTTAGGTTTTTGACTGGTCTGACGACCTCTGTTCCTTCTCCAAACATTCCTGACAACGTTTACTCCAACCTTTCTTAAGAACATATTTGTATCTTTCTGTTTCTTTCTTCTGACTATAGAACAATCATTAATAAAGGTACTAAGACAATTAGGAAAAAAGATCAGATTTCATGCCAGCAGACATAAAACTATCATTTCTGCACCACTGGGAACAGCACAACTGGCTAGGGCTTAGTGGTCTCAAGTCAGGCTATCTAAAATTAAACATTTATTCCATTTTGGGGCATCTGAACATTGCTCTTATTTTTCCAAGCTTCTCAGCACCTTCAGGTTAGAGTCCCCAGAATCCACTTTTCCAGAGCAGCAGGCTAAGACATTCTGTGCTGTCATCCAGTTCTTTAACTATCTAAGATATTTGGTAATGTGACTTAATTATTGATTGAAGAATGCAAGAACTCATTCAAGACTACAGCTGCAATCACTGCATCTTCTATCCATACGTTTTCCTACTTTTTTATGGGCAACACTAGCATGCTTCATTTTTCTGAGCGTTTCCTTATAACATCTGCAATGCTTTCTGTACATTTTACAATATCCCTAGCCGTTCACTTCAAAAAACTGCAAAACCCCTGTTCTCTTGCTGTTCAAGAAGCTACCCTTCAGCAATCCACATTTCAGTGTTTCCCATCTCAGAAGCTTCTAAAAAGAACGCTGACAATGCCCCCATTAATACCATTAGCAATGTTCAAAAGGTCCAAGGTAATCTCAACCTCAAAATCTTTACTATCGTTATGATTTAACCCACAGTTACTATACGAATGGGTAAAGTAAATCTAGGAGACAACTCATAGGACGAGTCATGAAATTTGCCCTAACAATTATGCCCTTTCATGATCTGAATCAGTTTGGAATGAGTCACGAGCAACGAAGCACTTTGAACAGCAGTTTTTACGCCTTCAGAGACTGCAGTCCCAGAACTCAGTGGTCTGACACAAAACAGTAGCTTCATAAATTCTTTCAAGCTGCTATATCAATTACATACTGCTTATTTGCATGCACTAGAATAGTGGCACTGCACAGCCTAACCAAGCTTATAAAGGGGTATTTTTTTTTTCAGATATAAAGCTCTTCTAAATCCTAAGTAACATTTAACTGTGTTTAGAAATAAACCAATTCATATTTATCAACCTCCATTAAAACTTAATGAAACTAAAAGCTTGACTTAATTCATACCTCACAGCAATGAATAAGAAATTTTCAATTTCTGAAAAAGCAAAACTCAGTTTCATAGTTAGATGGAGAAATGAGAAACATGCTAACTGAATAGCCTTCTCTAATTGAAAGAGCCAAAACTTCCTTAAAACAAAACAAAGCCATACAAATAAGGGTGGCAGAAGCACTATTTTTAGATTTAAATGTTGTTCCCTGCCGTAAAATGCACATTTCAGCTCACCAGTAGGATTTCTCCACCTCCTGCTAACCAGCGTCAGCAGTCAATCTAAATCCATCAGCCAAACCGTATTACAGCATAGCAAATAAAAGTTACTTTCTCCAGAAACCAAACAGCTCTCACTTCTTCATTCTTTCCTCACACATGGTTTTTTAAGGAGAGCATGACTGAAGCTGCTAGGGCTGTTAAGGCTATTGTTACACACTAAATTGTGAGCATAACATAAAAATTCTCTCATGAAACTTTATTTGAATCACTCATTCAAAAGGGGAAAAATCCACTCTTTCAAAATTATACACTGTCTTTGGCAAGGAGAAAAATAGCTAAAGGGAACAATAAAACACTTTTATGACACTATTTTTTGTATTAGATTTGTCCCTGGGCTATAAAAAAAATGTACCAGGAACACTATGAGAAAAATGACTGATCCTCAAAAAAGTAGTAAAAAAATATATTTTAGATTTTATTACACCATGATTCTTTGTAAAATTTTAAAATTAACTAAAATTTCTCTAAGCCTAGAAAGAGAGCTTAATACTACACTGTCCTGCTGAGAAGTATAAAGAAGCCACATAGCTTAGGCAGACATTTATACTTAAGCACACAGATGAAGGGCAAAATCAGGCATACTCTAGATAACATTCAAGGATAGAACCTATAAACAGATCTGATGAGGCCCATTTTTGCATTCAGGTACATCAAATCACAAAAATAAGCCGTCGCTGTCCAGCAGGGTTCTCCCATACTGCGCCTGCCTCGCTGTACAATCATTTCACTGAAATGCAGAAATTGGCTTTTAGCAATACATTCGCTTTTGCTATACTAAAAACTCATGTAGCAAACCTGAGGAAGTTATTATTTGCTGTCTTTACTTTTCTAACTGTTACCAAACAGTAATGACTATATAGGAAGCCCACCAGCTGTGTACATTACAGCATTCAACTTGGTCCTTCTCTGACTCACAATTTCCATCACCATAAACACCACAGATTTATTTTTTTCCTCTCATACCCTATTTTATTTTAGGCACTTATCTATTATTGTACTAGGTATTACAGAGATCCCTGAAGAGGGTACAGTATCATACCACAGCATCATGAAGTTTCCGTATTCCTCTGTGGTTTTTTTCCTTCTGTTGATCCCCCATATTTATCCTTTCATTAAATGGAAATTCCTTTGCTGTAGCCAGAAAAGCACAAGCTGCAAACCTCCTACCCTTGCCCAATTCAGCAAATGTATTCTATAATTCTACAGAATATGAAATTCAGCAGAAGTTTTCTGTTTCCACTACCAGACACCAAGGAAAGCACCAAGTGATACAAAATCAGAACCTACCAGTCACTAGTATGCATTGATAAGCCTTACAGAGAATTTTCATTTCATTTTCATTAAATTAAAATTAAATTTTAATTTAATACTACTCATAGAAAAACCAAATCTGCTAATCATCCTGTTGACTAACTAAATGCCTAGAGAAGGGCTAATGCAAAGAATTATCTGTATCATCATACCTATAACGTGAAATTTGCACATGATGTGTAAATGATCCATGAGGGCTTCCAATAAATGCTGTGATTACTCAGGACTAAATTTACTACAATATTTCTTCTTCACTACTTTTGCTTGGACAACAAAAGCTGTATATAGCCTCTGAAAGAGGTCACTATTGCAAAACAGGGAAGCAGGTCAGGACCAGAAACTATGGCCTGCTTGCCCTGTCAGAGGGCACCTGCTTGCATGATAAAACCCACACCAAGTATGGGCTTCTTAATAAATATCCACAGCACTCTACATGTGATAAAATTATATACTACCACTTTGGGTTCAATGTAACTGAGGCAGAAGTGTCAAGCAGTATACATTCTACTTCAGGATATAAAAAGTAATTTAGGAGTGCTAACTTCAATTTATGCCTTTGTAAAATCGACAAAATTAATCCTATCTTTAAGCATAATTTTCCAAAGAATTTTAAAAAGCAAAGATGAAATACAAAAGGAGGTGGTACTGTTTTAGCAGTCAGATAAAGCAGAACTGAAGTGGAAGTTTAATGTACCAATTTGAAAGCATCATGTATGGGAACTCATCGGAAGTGAAAGCACAATTCCTTCTTTTGCTTCTAGAGACCATCACATAAGTATACATATTCATGCTATGTTATAAATTATAAAACTGTTTTAGGGATGAATATCTAAAAAGAGTACCTATCACTAACAATAATTTAGAAGTGAATAATTACAGAACTTATCTTTCATCAACTTTGAAGCTTTCAGATTTCTAATGCTTTTAAGTAATGAAGATAACTTTTTCAGTACTGCACTACATCAAACTGGGCCATCTGTTAAGAACAATCATTAAGACATCGAGCCCCCGAGGGACGAAGAAGTAACATTTACTGCTTGCTTAAATAGTTACAGATGTTTCTAGAAACTGTTTAAAAAAATTAATGTGTATATTCTTAGAACACGATCCAGCAAGAAGTCTCAAACGCACTGTCCCTGCAACCACAAGCACATGCTTGTATGTTCAAGGTCTTAGAAAATATTTAACTAAGCATATTTATTAATTAATATTTGCTGGCTAAGGGTGAGACTCAGAGCCCCTTCATTGGCATCTACAATGATACTGGAGAATTTACATACATGCAAGACAAGCAGCCCAGAAGGCCCCAATAACCGTCTAAGCCTGGAAAAGTCTAGTGCTCATTTGGCACACCTCTGGCTTGAAATTTCTGAGGTGCATCACTAACAGCTGAAAGGCAAGTCCTGCTCTGAGAGACCAGGCTCCCCTTAGGCTCAGCTGAGACTCAGCACTAAGGGAGAGGTGTGGAACGGAGGTACAATACAGACCCACACAGGGAACAATCATTCTAACACCTTTCACACAACAGCTCACTGATCACAACGCACTTGAAGAAGAAAGCTTGAGTCCTCTAGCCCTGCGACACCTGCATTATCCTCATTTAAGGGGATTTCCTCAACCAACATTTCAGCTATTGCTGGTTCAGTCTGGTCCAGCATGCAACCAGGATTGACCAGGTCAGAAAGGGAACAAGCAAAAGTAACCCGCGTCTCAACACCCCACTACAAGGAGGGAAAATGAGATTCTGGGCTCTAAGGTTATTTTTTCATTTTTATTCTGTAACTGTCCAGCTTAATCCATAAATGAGTCTTGAGAGAGCTCAGATCTAAAACAACCTCCAAACACTGTAATCTTAACATTACTATTGTGATTTTAAAATAGAGAGCTTAAAACACATTTCCAACCCCTGTATGTTCAGTGCAGTTGCAAGTTTAAGCAACATAAAATATCTCTTTTTCAACCATAACTTCTTCCTAACAGGAATTCTTAAGAGATACTGGGCACTTTCTCCCCCAACTCTTCCTTTTCTCCTTCCCCCTCTCTAACTTCGAGCAATTACAGCTTTGTACCTGGTAAGTCATCTACTCAAAGGAATATCACCGACTGGTTTTACATGCAGGCTAATTAGAGACTCAGGTTTACAAAGGTATCTCATATCTCATTAAAACGGAATTGCTTCTTCCAGTGTATCCCCCCATTGAATCAGCAATCTATATTCCTTCCAAGTGCGCATAGTCTCTGGCTTACCTCTACAAACGCTGCAACATTGGTTCTCTGGAAGAACGTGATCTTTTTCTGAGCAGTTCAATGGCGGACAAGTCTCTGTTACTTTTACTAAAACTCCATTCTGAAAATAAACAACATTTTAAAAAGTGACGTTGATGAAAACATGTGCAACGCCGAGGATCACATAATTTTCAGTCTATAACTATGGTAATCTCTAGAAACAACACTGGTAAGGTAGCAGGCAGCAAGTTAAATTCATTGTTTACACCATAGCATCAAAACTGAAGGGATCTACCTGGACATATCTATGCCCAGAGTTGAAAGAAAAGGAAAGAAAAAAAAAAAAAAAAAGGCATTTGAGCTCAAAATTCTACAGTAGTTTTTCTGAATATGTTGTCTCCAAGCATAGCTGTTTTCCTTCCAAGTATTTGAAGGAATTAAATAATTTCACTCCAGGTTTGTGTTAAAGACAGTCTTCCTGCTTTATGCAAGTCCGAGTTTCACTCCTCTTATGGCACATTCTACATAACCCACTGATAAGTTATTCAACTCAAACAAACACAGCAGACAGAAGACCACCATTTTCAAGTGCCATGTGTTGTTTCGTTGTGTTCAATTAAAAGCGTCTGTTCTTTAGAATTACTGATCACCTAATTTCCAAAAATTAGGTCCTTCAAAGGTATGGCAAAGCAGAAATACCATCTTGAGGTATCCATATAGAAACTGCTGTATAAAATGTAAATCAAGGTCAAGATATTTCTATTATTTTGATTTATGCTAGATTTAGACTAAGACTGTGAATAGGAGCTCTAGTTGCTGGTAGAAATCTTCTAAAATAATAGAGACAGAGCCTTTCTGGGGAGATTTTACAGCAAATTTTACTCCATCTTCTTTCACCATATCTCCAGACCAAAGAGCTGTCGTGCTCTCCAGTTAGTTTTTTCTTAACATCTTGTCCCAGAATAGCTTCCTCTTTCCCATAACCCCTCCAGCCTTCCTCACACCATAACTTCAGCATCCCTACTGCACCTACGCCATCACTGCAAACGGGCAAATGGAGCAGAGATTAACCACCATGATTTTTGCTCCGTAGAAGCTAAAATAACTATCCCTCCACACTGTCCACGCCTGAGTAATCTCATTTTCCAAAGGGCTGTGAAACTCCACTAAACAAGCAGGCAGCCTGCTATATTGCCAATACACCTCTTCTAATATGAATCTAGTCCCCACTCCTCCCAAAATATCTTCTGTGATGCCTCAGATGGTGGAAAGAAAATATGGAACAAGAATTTCTGCTTTCTTCGAAGAAATAAATTGCATTTTCTAGCTATCATGATTGCAGAGAAAAGTTCAGAAATATGATCCAAACACACCTAGGGATAAGAAAGCAGAAGAAAACTAATACAAAAAAAAAAAAAAAAAAAAAAAAAAAAAAAAAAAAAAAAATTTATAAAAACCACCAAAAAAAAAAAAAAAAAAAAAAAAAAAAAAAAAAAAAAAAAAAAAGAGAGAAAACGTTATTAAAGCCACCACTGTCAAAATCTGAGGGATCAGATATATGACTTTGAACAGAGGATACTGACAATATCGGTGTGTCTACCCTATATGGAGAAACACCCCTATATAGAGACACCTTTGCTAGCCAGAAGCTTGCCTTCATCACTGTGCCACACCATGCCAAAAGACTAGCTCAGGTGCCAGAACCAGTACAGGTAAAACTCTGCTGGTAATTAGCCTCACCAGCCATGCCACCCTGATTTGGCTACGGCATTTCAGGCTCCAGAATTAGCCCTCAGAGCATCAAGGTGCCCTACAGAGTTATGAATGCAGAAATGCCTACTGAGTCTACAGGGTGCAAATGACACCCAAGGTGCCCAGCAGCTAGCAGGACTTACACTTGAGAAGTGCAGCAGACCTAGGGAACGCAAAACTGACCGTTCTGCAATCACTGCTAGTCACTGCCCTTGAGATTGCAATTGTAAGGCTAAGCAGGGCCAAGTTGTTTTTCTTGCTTCCCAACTGTCTTTACTGGCAAGTTGTATCTGTTGCTGTCACGAAAAATAATATTAAAAAAAAAAAAAACCACAGGCACCAGGTATTCTTTTTTCTTTAAAGCAGCAGCTCCCTACAGTATCACATACAGCACGCATCATTGAAGCAAGTGCCCACACAAGAACAGTGAAGTTAACGGAGGCATTAGGTCTCCTTCTGATCTCCCTTCCATAAGTGAAAGGGAGGAATCCCCCACGGTCGCCTGTGCAACTGCAGCAGCACAGGCGATAAAAGAAGCAGACACACTGAGACGTCATTTACTATCATGGTATCAAACTACCAGCTGGAAAAGCTCTAGCTATAACTCATTGCCTATTCAAGCTCAGAGAAGACAATTGCAGCAAAAAGGGTACAGTATGTCAACATGTGGACAAAAAGCAGCGACTGATGATAAATATGGTTAAAAAGATGACAAGAAATGAAGAAATTGTATTAAAATCAAACCAGTGATCAGGATGAGTCAAAAAGCTAAAGAGAAATTAAATCCAAGCTCATACCTTCTTTAGTGATCTTAAGATTAAAAAAAAAAACCACACAAATTGAGAATTCCATTAATTTAATGACTGTAAGATTTTATTTCCCTAAAGTTTCCCATTTTCTGCAGAATTTTCATCTTGGGAAAACAAATCAAATATATTTGTAATTAAGTTTTAAAACAACTAAAATGTTTCTGTGTTGAGTATTCTTTGGATTAAAAGCAATTTATTATAAACTAGTACAGAGCTAATTGTAAGAACTATCATCATTAGATTTCAGATTTTATCCACTGAGATACATTAAGACCAGTTCATACTTCAGAATTATTTCTTCAGGCAGCCTTAGCAAAATTACTAACTTTTCATACTCAATACACATATGTAGTTATAGAATCTTGGCAAAAATAGATGTTAAAAAGACATTCCTCTGGAATAAATAGGTCAAGCTCCAACTGTGACGTATAAACCACAAAGAATGAGATCTGGAGTCAAACATTTACAAAAAGATCATTAAATTTCTTGTATTTACAAAGGTAAGTACATAAAAAAGAATTGGCTATAAGCCTAATCAGTGACATGCAGTGAGAATCTGAACCACAAACAGCCCATCTCAGATGATACGCTTTGGAAAATAATAGCAAGATTTCAGATAAGGTTATTTTGGGGTTTTCTTGTTGTTTGGTGTTTTTTTTTCCCCTCCTGTTTTAGCTGCTGTCAATCAGCCCTTCAGGAGAAAGTTTCAAATAGCATCCTTAGCTGTCACTTCAAGAACTCCGTTTTTCCTTATCTCTACAAAAAACTTTTAAATCAAACTCTCTGAAAGTCAATAGAGCCCCGTCCACCTTTCTAGTATTTGTATGGCACTCTCTGACTGCTCGCTCCCAGCATTAATGAAGAGGAATTTATTCTTGTACCCTTTGCTGACAAACATATCGTCCGGTTATGAACAGGCATCATGTCATTCCCAGGCATTAACCCAGAAGGCAGCTGATCAGCAGTGAACTCCTGATCCAACAAAAGTTAGAGAATTCTTCCCACTGACTTCAAATGAGCCACGTCACCATACTGGTGGAAACCACAAGCCAAAATAACCACTTAGTGAATGCAGAAAGGTGCCAGTTTCTAAAGCACAAACACACTTGCATGTTTTAGATGGACCTCAACACACTCTAGAAATGAGCCAACAGGAACCTCTAGAAATTTAACAGGGAAGAACAACCCCAGGCATCAGTACATGCTAGGGTAACCCTGACAGAAAGCAGCTTTGCAGAAAAGGACCTGAGGGTCCTGACAGACACCAAGCTGAACATGAGCCGTATACATGAGAACTGAGACATGGAACAACTGGAGGGAGACCAGCCACGGGTCACAAGGAAAAGTAAGGGACTGGAGCATCTGTCAGAGGAAGAAAGGCTGAGAGCTGTGACTGTTTAGCCTAGAGAAGGGAAGGCTCAAGGAGGATCTTAACAACGCACATAAATACCCAAAGGGAGGGCACAAAGAGGACAGAGCCAGGCTCTTTTCAGTGGTGCCCAGTGAGAGGACCGGAGGCAACGGGCACAAACCGAAACACAGGAGGTTCCCTCTGAACATCAAGAAACACTTTTTCATTGTGAGGGTGATTGAGCACTGGCACAGGTTGCCCAGGGAGGTTATGGAGTCTGCATCCTTGGAGATATTCAAAAGCCATCCGGGCATGGTCCTGGACAACTGGCTCTAGGTGGCCCTGCTCAAGTAGAGAAGTTGGACAAGATGACCTCCAGAGGTCCCTTCCAACCTAAACTATTCTATGGTTCTTAGAAACACCCGTGCACTGATTTTGTCATTGCAGATTAATCTAGAGAGTGTTTGTGGGCAGGATTCCAGCTGGGAATGGTTGTCCATCATTAACATCTGTGCTTATGCTTAAGAGGATGTGCATCATAAATACATTTTTAGTCTGGATTAGTTTTCAGAAATTAAAAAAAAAACCCTGCTCACAGCCTGATAAAGAAAATCTTTGTTCTATCTGGATTCATCAGTATTGTTTGATGGAAAAAATATAAAAGTTAAAAGCTTCTTATGCTTGGATCAGTGCCTATACAAAGAATAAAATTACTACCTTCAATTAAAAATTGAAATGTGAAATTTTAACTTTATCTTTTTGACATTACCCCACCTACAACTACATCCTCCTTTACAGACACAAGAGCTGCTCCCCAAGATTTTTAATTCATCTTTATCAACATTAATAAATTGACAGTTGATGTGTACCCTCTACTGTATTCCTTCATGGATCAACACCTTTTCAAACTCAAGGTCTGTTTTTCAAGTCTGGAAAATTAAACCATAACACATTTTTTACATTCCCTCCCCTAGCACAAACCCCTTCCTTTATTCATACAACACCTTGTCCACCAGTAGGATCCCGCACAGGATCCCATACGGGATAGGAAACAATGAGTACAGCCACGGCTTGATTTATTGCCATTCATCCTTCATCTAGTAAGCATTCTCAATTGAGGCAGTAAATAAGTAGGTGCTTGCTTACAGCTTTTAAGAGGTCATGCTGAAGACACATAGAATGAACTTCCTGTCTGGAGACACATCTCACAGAAGCAGAGTAAGCACCCACTTAAAAACTCTTCCCAGTCAATGCCAAGCTTTGCCAGTGAGGTGTAATGTTTTCCTGAAACATAGCTGTGGAAATACTTTTTTTTTTTTTTGAGGCATGGACTCAGTTTTTTTCATGGTATTGCATTCACATATGCTGTTTCAAATACTTATCAATACTTTCAATATAATACAAACTGCAACATTACTGCAATTAGCATTGTCATAACAACTTTAACAAGTTAAAATGCAAACATTCTTTTCATTATTATTTTAGTCATTTTTAATATGACAGATATTTGATAGTCATTATTGGCTTTTAATCTTCATGAACGTATTATCACACTCACAGCGATGAATATAACACTTTTATTTATAGCACAGAGAAGCTCCAGACATAATTCAGATCATTCTCTCTGGTTTCACTTAATCTGAAAATCCTCCTGTTCTCATCTTATTTTATACAGGCACTTCCCCTCCCAAATAAACATTCTATGTCATATTATAAATAAGAGGCACCTTAATCTGTCTTCAAGTCAACGACCTTGCCCACGTATTTGTATATACAATGTTGAGCACCCCATACAGCTAAATGCTAACAACAGCAAAGTGATTCTGTGTAACAACCTGCTTTCACAACATCTGCAACCAGTTATTGTCCATTTCCATTAGCGAACATAAAATTGCTACTCTACACCCAGCTACAAGCACAACAATAACCAGATCATTGTAATCTTTTCCAAATGTTTTTCATAATTGTTCTAGCATACTGATCTGTCAACAACATTGGTAAGCCTCCCCTTTATCACCCTTCCCCCTCTACAAATTCAACAAGAAATAAAAACAAAAATACTTGAAAATTACATGTGAGAGAGAAAATGTGTTTAAAATAGCTGTGCCTTTCTGAGGTGATAAATCATCTTTAAAACACATGCATACTCACAATAAATACATGTCTCAGCAGAGCAATAGGCCTTTTCTAATCATCTACAACTACTACTCTCTTCTAAGGCTAGTCTTGACAACAACAGGTTTCTGCCACACTTATACACCATGTAGCAGTCGTATTCACTAACACTCCCTGAATGTTCCTATTTTACACAGTTTCCATTTACCTGTGTTCTTAAATACTGACGGTAGCTGATCAAGTGTTATGAGCTTGCCAAGAAAGACCCTAGTCCAGTCCAATACTTAGTAATTTCTCTCAACTATTAGCAGAGCTAAATATAGTTTAAATAATGCTAGGGTAAAGCTAGAGTAACTCACATTATTAATATAAGCCAGGTTGTTTCAAATTTTAGCAATAAGGCTGAAATTTGTAACTGGCTCAACATGCTGTTGTCTTTTTCTAGAGCTCGGGAAATCAAGAGATAAAATATCCCTCCAAGTCATTTTGCCCACATTTTTATTACCCTGCAAGGGTCATATTCCTGCCTTGTTTTCCTATTTGTGGCTTTCACTGACTTCACGGTCACTTTTTCGAGACAACAGATGTCACATTTGCATGAAGGAAGCCAAGAAATGCACTAACTTATCATTATCACTTTTGAACACCACATATACATTGAAAATCAGGAAAAGTTTATACAACTGAAACTTACTCGACATTCTCTACAGCTCTTGGTTAATACTCGTTGACCTTCTGCTAGCACTTTGCCTCCATAGATACACTTTGCTGTGATTTGAGAGGAGGAAGGAGATTAAAAATAAATAAATTAGATTAGTATTTAAGTAGTAACAAAAGATACAACACAAAGTAAACCCAATTTTCACATACACTGAAAATATACAGATATGTTAAAAATATGATACATTTTGCTTTCATCAGAAGTCTGAATCATATATCATTACAAATAAAGTAACTAACAATAAATTAATTTTAAGAGCAAGTAGCACCTTTACCCAAACTAAGGAGGAGTAATAAGAGCATAAGACAATACTTACTGGACCAAATTCACTATTATGCGATAGAAAATATTTTAATTACTGACATTCTGTTGATTAGCTACAGTATTTGTGTTACTAGAGGTCTTCATGACTCACTTTAAGAACAGAAGACATTTATTAGTGTACTCTTCATCAAGAGAACAATATAAGCACAGATTTCAATTAAACCTTCAGATTTTTTGTGGGCACAAAGGTCAACTCTTCGCCTTGCTGAAGCATTGTAAAAATGGATTAGATGCAGCAAATGACTCTAGTAAATCAACAAACTGTAAAAGTCTATTTTCAGAAAAATATTCTTAAAACACACATGAAATAAGCAGATTTCCCAGAAAACTGAAAGCTCCTACTAAAAAATTCTTGTTTGAAGTTTTGACCCTTCTGCTAAACCAACAGACAAGAACACATGAGCACTCCTCATTCATTTCAGGGCAAAGCCAACCTGCTTAGCTTAGGGCTACTGTGACCATGAAGAAGGTAACCTCCAGCAGGGCCACAGTAGCATACAGCTCAGTCGACTATTGCCATAACTACCACAGTCCTCTTGGAACTAGACATCTACATTTCAATTCTAGAGGACGACAGTAAATCCATTCATTAAAGAGAACAGTTGGACTATTATGATCTTACACAAATTAAGGGTCCATCATAAAGGCACTCCACATTGCTAACAAGATCAGTGCTAAACACTGTTAAAATAAGTTTTTGTTGTGGTATTTCAGCTCTTTCTGCACTGACCATAACAGTCTAACCTATGACACAGAAAAGAGAGCTAAAAGGTATGAATCCTATGTTGCAATTAAACAAAGCTGTAATTGTTTCCTGAGTCAAGACACTTGCACAGTGAAAGTGGAAGCGTTCAAAGTACTTGGTTCTCAATAAAAATTAAGTCAGACTGTCTAGTAACTGCTTTACCTCAATTTCTCTCCTGAACACCAAGGTAAGGGAACCACGCACTTAGAGGTGCATGTGCACACCCCTTGCAGGTGATACCAATAGTATTCCACAGCAGCAACTCTCATAGCCAGTCTGATTCACAAATTCTAAACTTAAAGGACTGCTAGATCAACCTGTGCAAACCTTCAGATGTGAATTTGCTTCTAAGGACTTTTTGTTTAAATTTACACTCTTGAAAATGCTCATTTCTTTAAAAAAAAAAAAATATTTTCAGAAGAAATCAGTTTCATCATCACCAATGCATTTAAAAAACATGCTTCTTTGTTTTAGTATCTGAGTTTTCTTCATTTTTCTAAAGGTGCCCTAGTTTTTCATGCCTGAGCTGCTGTGATCTCACTTATGAAGAAAACTTCAGATCAGGAGGCTTTGTTTAAATTAGCAATCCCAGTAACTATTTTTGGGAGAAGATGAATTAGAGGAATTTCCTTTTTCTGTCTATTCTCCTGACATGACTGCTTTTAACAAAAGAACGGACACGCCAGAAAGCAAGTTAATGCACAACCCAGAAAAGTGATGAGACTTTAAACAAAATTACAGTCTTTTGTCAAATACTAGTCAGAAAGCTAACACAAGATGGCAGGGATCAAAACAGAACCACCTCATTTTTAAAACCCTTAACATATCAGACATTCGAGCTACTTTGTTCGTTAACCCTCTGCTAAAACAGGAAACTGTTCAATAATCCAGCCATTCAATAATCCCTAGAGACAGCAAATTACAACTGATGATTCTATCAGAGCTAAATAGGAAAAGCACAGAGAAATTAACACCTGCAGTGCAGCTCTTCGGAAAGCCTCAGCAATTACTACTATCTACCCAAAAGTGACTGACTGTGGCCCTAGCCCACATCATTCTGTCAAGGAGCCGGCATTTACAATCAATTTCAATCAACTTCCATACATCTCTTCCTATTGACTGACATGCTGAGTTCTTGTCAGAATAACGAGTCAAGTTTGTGCCAATCACTGACAAAAGCCAAGTCTGATTGTTCATCTTTCCATTACAAGTAACAGGAACACCATTTACTCATGGGCATATATGTTGAATCTACAATTCTGCGCCTTGCGTTCCTTTGTGTTAGATTTTGATTGTTGTGTGTACATGCATATCAGCAAAGACGTGTCAAGAGAAACATATAGTTTCATGAAAGAACTTTCTAGACTCTCAATGTTACAAATAAAAATATTTTGACACGAAAAATACAGACCAGCATGGCCACTTTACCACCCAAGTAGTCTGTTCATAAACATCTTTTAGTAAGCAGAATACTCATGCCAACATACAGCTGAGAGAAATGAGATGACATGAGTAAGCAAGAGCGAGTGCAAGATCACAGCTAAAGGACATTTCTTCATGGGATTAATGAATTCAGTGACTGAAATAAGGTGACAGAATGCTAAAAAAAGTGTTATTTTCCTAATAAATCTTAAAATAATTCAACATCTCTCTCTCAATTAATTATTGAAAAATGCGTGTGAAGTTTGCTAGTCTCCAAGACTCAGGGGTGGGGGCTGAGATAATTCATGCTTCTCTAAGGTAAGACTGGCATCAGTATTCAGCTAAAATTTCCATATATAAATTGTCTTTGTCCCTTGTACTACTATTAAAGCAACAAATATTGAATTTTCCTTCCAGGAACGTTACTTACAGCTTTCACTTCCTGAAGAAGGGACTGAAAGCCAACAATAACACTGACCGCAAAACTGACTTTTTTTTTCTTTCTTCTCATTAATTTATTTTGAAATTAATTATAGCAAGCTATCATTCCACAGATATTCTGAAATTCTGTCATGTTTATTTTAAAGAACAACATTCCAACCCAAAATAAAAGATAGGCAAAAACATAACAGCTCAGTTTATTATTCATTGCTACAGAAAGTTCAGACCAAAGGCTTGATGCTTCTCAACATCAACACGAGATAAAAGCTGAAGCCCAGTAAAGCTTCCCTGCCCCAAACAAGTAGACAAATAATTTTGCACTGCAATAAGTAAAAAGAGAATCTTGGAAATTTGCAATCCCTGTTCATTTTTCAGCATTTATTTATTTTCTCCTTAAGTCAAGTTTGCCACTATGTCTCCTTACCTGAATTACTAGGACCTATGAAAGTCATTATAAAACATGTCTGCTTTCAGGAAAAGCTTAATTCTGCTTAAACAGAGAGTGAAGCTAGAAGGTCTGCGTGATGTACTTACCCTTGCATATTTTGCAGCACTGGCTTTCCACATGCACTGGGAGAGCATCCGGAGGACAATCGAGAGGGGGACAGGACATTCTTCGGCACTCTACAACTCCACTCTAAGCAAAGGTTTTTAAGAGAAAATTCAACTACAATTGTTGTAGTTAGCAAATATTTTATACAAAACACAGAAGACAGAAAACTAAGGAAATGAAAACAGCATTGTGGATTACCAACCCAACCTTCAGTAACAAGTTTAATCCTATCTAACTAAAAACTTGAATCAAAATGCATCTGCAGGTGAACCACCCCATTTTGATATGTATTACTGGTTATACCCCACTTTCCCAGAGTAAAGCACAGTAAGTGGAAAACGTAAGCCCATCTTCACAAGAACATAAGCACCACTTTCTGTAGGTTGTGCCAATCATCTTTGAGATTTTTAACAATCAGTTTTCTATTTTCTTCAGCAAACAAAGACTCTCTTCAGATATTTATCAAATAATTTCACCAAGACAAGGTTTACATACTAATTTTCTTCTGTTCCTCAGGTTTTGAAAGTGATAAACACTGAAAACAGAATCTGCATGTTGTTACCATGCAAGATGTAACTAAGCATCTATGAATACTATTAAGATAATGCTTCCTTTTAGAAAAATCTACTGCAGTGAAAACAAATCCAAACCAAACACAGACAATTCCACACTCTCACCCCAAAACCGCAAAGTCCTTGCAGATATAATTAGAACAAATAAGAGAGCGTTGTCAAGGGAAAGCAGGTTTTATTTATGAAGCTTGCACATAAGCAATGTCAATTTTTTATTTATTTTACCATTTCCCTCCCTATTGTTCATACTGCCACAAGATGCATACTAAAAATATAATAATTCTCAGAGTTAACATTATGTATTCAAGGACCATTTTCACATTTTAATTAGGTCCTATTCCTTAAAGTCTTTAGAAATTCTTACTTTGCATGTGCAATTCCTGCAGTGATCATCTTCAACCCATGAGTCTTTGTCTCTATAGATCAATCCATTTACTTGACACGTCTTCTCACAATGACAGTCTTCCAATTGACTCAGTCTTGTTTCTGCATAATTTAACTATAAATGAAAGTAACTTGATGAGATTTCTGCAATTCAAACACATGATTTAAAAAGGCAAATATGAGAAAGTAGTATCTTTAGCCAAACCAAGTTTGACTACAACCTTCAAAACACTGCACCAGGATGTCAGCAGGTAACAAACTAACTTTGACCTCGGACTTTGATGGAGCTAAGTGACAACAGTTTATGACTCGTGCAACTGTCTCTGTACTGTAACAAACCCCACTAAGATCCCTGCAGGAATGTCCGGGCACTACCAAAAATATACAAACTACAATTGCTTTTTAAAAAATTTCTTAATTCTTAATTGCTCATCAACCTGATTACAAGTCAAAAAGCATGAAGACTGGCAGACTGACCTTTCCTAATCATCCCCATGTCATTGTTATGCATCAACCAGACTAATAATTTCTGACTTTTAGAAAGGTGTTAACCTTACAATAGCAAGTGAAATTTAGAAGGGAAAGAAAACACTTCTTGCTGTTCCCATTACCTCCTCAATTACAACTACTAAAATTAGTATCAAGAAGCTAAAATTGATGCATCTTTTCCTAGTATTACATCTGCACACTAGCAATTGCTATGTTTACGGATGAGAAACTATCAAATAATAAGTGAGGACAACACTCGTTCATGTAGCAGCAGCAAAGGACAAGGCTTTTTGAACCACCCTCTCCTAAGCCACATCACAGACCTCCTCTTACGCAAGGTACCAGCTTACCATCCTCCAGCGAGGAACAACCCTTGTCTATGCACACCTTGTACCCACTGCCATCATCTCTAAGCCCTAAGAGCACTCAAAATCACTTTCCCACTTAATAATACTAAAAATAAACAAACACAGACATAATATTTAGAACTAAATACGTGCATTCTTCAGGCCCCAGAACTGCCACTGCTCTAAAAATGACCCTAGTGCCAGTTACAAGAGTTTCTCAAGGTCTTGATTTTTTACATTGTCTTCTGCATATAAACCATCACACAGCAGATAGCAAGGCTACCTAAATCTGGCACAAGATAAGATGAATGAATATTCTATTCTGCTATAAATATGATGCTATTTTCCTACATTATAGATTGCTACATTTTAATTGTAGCAAATTTTGTAAAAAGTAGAATACACAGTGCTATAGTATTTTTTTACATAATGGCATATACCTGAATTTCATATAATTCCATCCTCTAAAATTCCATCCATTTTAAATGAAAGTATTCTAATACATCCTCTTTCATTCCTCCCTGTAAAAGAGCAACATATTTAGGGGGAAGAAAAAGAGAAGAAATACTAGGTAAATTTCTGTGATTTATTTTTCCTCTGCAGTCCTCATGAGGAAAAGCCCTGAATAAAAGCTCTTTCTTTCTTAAGTTGTTATTCTGAGATAATAGGGAATTGATACTCATCTCCCCCAGACTCAGCATGACCTGGTGACTTCAAAACTGCTTTTCACAGTTTAAAGACAAAACTATCCTCTTACTGAGCTGCTTGTTTTCAGCAGAAACACTTTTCAGGTCGTTATACTTACAGTATACAAAATTTATTCAGTTTTGTTAAAAAGGTGTTTGATTTGTCTTACACTTCTACTTTATTTACTCTTTTTTTTTTTTCAATTAACAGTCCCATAAAAACGGGCTACACAAATTTTAGAGAAAGGACTTTAGAAATACCCAGATTTGAAAATGGTACTTGATATTGTCCTTTGCCCGTGCTAGAAATTATTCCCTAGAAAAAGAAGAAAACTCTAACAGAAGAGATATTTTCAATTTATTAACTTTTTCGGTCATTTGCATTATCTTGATAAGTTTTATTTACTTAAAAATAATTTACCTCCTGTTCTAAGAAATAGCTTTAAACACAGCACATCAATCAAGCGGATCACCAGAAGGAAGGCATGCAACAACAAATCCTCCAAGACACAGAGGTCAATGAATGGATATAGCCCACAGAATATGCTCAGAAACAACATCACTGTAACCTGCTCTACTAGAGTGACCAGAAACTCTGTTTCTAAACTTCAAGACTTAACTGAAAAATTTCTATTACGCTCAATAAAACAATGAATTCCTTAAAACTAGCAGAAACATCCTTCCAAATGTTGCCAAATGCACACAACTAGATTTGTTGAACACTTAAAACATCAGTAGAAAATTCTCAAGTTTCAAACATTTTTTAGGTTATGAACAAAAACAAACTAATGAGGGAGGATCAGCCCGCATCATACCAAACATTTTCCATATACTAACCAAATTCTAAGTTCTTGACAGTCAGGAATATTTGGCTAGCTATTATTCACAAAAGTTATTTTATACTTTCCCTGCTTCTCCTCTGCCCATACAAATAACTGAAAGATGACAAATTTCTGTTAAAAATGTATGGTTTCTGGCAAAATTAATAATAAAAAATATTTAAATAAACACCCCTAAAACTATCAAAATTTACATGGAAAATTTTGTTAATCATCTAACCATTCATGACCACATAAAGCCATGATGTAAACAAAGCAGACTCACTAGTCCATCAATGACCTCAAGTGCTTGATTTTTCTTGGTTTTAATCAAACTCAAGGTTTAACCTTTCCATTGAACTCAAGTGCTTGATTTTTCTTGGCTTTAATCAAACTCAAGGTTTAACCTTTCCAACCTCAACCAAGGAAAGAGTCAGCAAAAAGTTTTGTGCTGGAATTCTTCATGTATCTGAATACAAAGCACACCTTAGCGTGGGCCTGTAATTTACCAGCAACAAACCTGCGGTTCATTGCTCATGTACATTAGCAAGCCATTCTCTGACCACCTGCCCTGCCAAACAGGATCTCTGCAGGCAGCTGCCCAGCCCTTCTAAGCCTTGCTCTTTGCCTTGCCATAAATCATCCCCATATGATACATTTGTATGGCCATTAGGACCACTTGTGGCTATTGTGGCCAAGACTGAAAAAGCAGATACAAACCTTAATGCTTCCCTCAAGCCCTTCCATTTTTAACTTGCATTTGCCTACCAAATCAACTTCCTTCCCCGCTGCATGCACTTTTCCCGGACATTATTTCTGTAACAACTGCAACAAAACAGTGCACTGCTGTAACAGAAAGGAACTCACAATGAAGGATTATCCCAGCACCACTTTATGGAAGCACAGAGTCTCTGCAGCACAAATACTGTGTTATTTGCTTCCCCTCGCAAAGTACTAGCAAGCAAAAATATAATTAACAGCAGAGAAAGCAAGTTACTCAGTACAGTGCATAATTGGAACTTGCTCATACCACCAGCAGGGCTCAAAATAATTGCCTCTCTTTCGCAGTACAAGCAGCAAACTGAACTAAAAGCTTCACATTTTGCATTCAGAGTCAGCCTGTCCAAAGCATGTCAGATGAGTAAATGGATTGTCAGTATAATGCACACACTCTCTAAAACCAAAATTTCCCCTTTCCTATTAGGAAGGAAAAGAACACTTAAAGGCTGCAGAGTAACAAGTATAACGCTCTTACATTACTAGTATTACTATGCAAATCTGATTTTTGATATTCCTGTTCAGTAACTACACTGACATTAAAGGCATCTACAGGTTGGCTGCAGTTGCACTTAAATCTGTAATTAGCACATAAGTACTGTTTCAGATGAGACAATTAATTTCCCACAGACCAGATGGCTCACCAACATCTACCTCAAAAAGTGCTCACAGATTGCCCTTTAACACAGAGCAGGCATTCAGTCACCTCTAAAACACAGCTTCCTACCCCAAAACTTCACCACCATCTTAGCTGAAGTGTCTTGGCTAACACAGAAGTTGACTGTGTAATGTAGGAGAAGAGCCTGAAGAAAATGTCCAAAATCCCAAACAGAAAACCATTATAGCTTCCCATTCATCCTACTCACAATCCAAACTCAGGTTGGGGGGGAAGCAACAAAAAACCACAGCACACCACCTGGAACTGGCTTAACTTTCACACTGGTAAAAACCATTGATCAAAGGTGATGTCAAGCTTCCCATTTATCCTACTCACAATCCAAACCCAGGTGGGGGGGAAGCAACAAAAAACCGCAGCACACCACCTGGAACTGGCTTAACTTTCACACTGGTAAAAACCATTGATCAAAGGTGATGTCAAGATCAGCACAGCCAGCAGCTTCACAGGCATTTCCATTTTGGAGCCTCATTTCAATTCCCAGGAAGGAGACTACGCCAATCCTGAAGACTTCACAGGACTCCCCACAGGCAAACACGCACCCTCTGACAACATCACATGGTGAGAAAATTGTTGAGGGATTTCACTCCTTTGTTTCTGCATTTATCCCTCAGCAAGAAAAGGGAAATCATGCTAAGACTTCTTACAAAAACCCATACCCCAGGCATTTTGTCACTGTCTTACAAATAATAAGGCCGACAATAGAAGCCATATAAGGCTTAAGTGACATCCATGAAGCTATATCCCTAAGTCCACTGCAGATAGGGATACCAGCAGAAGGAGAAAAAAATGGCTCCACCATGAAAATGTAGAACAATTGCAAAAGTAATAAATACTTTAGTGTTGGTCTTAGTGCAGAAGGAAATGGGCAATCGACAAAGAAGCTTAGGTACCTACTTTTGCAGTCATTTTTGCCAGGAGTTCTTGCAAATCCATGATTCCTTGCACCAGGCTTAAGAAATCACTGCAGGTCGGGCATGCTCGATAAAGGAAATGTAAAAAGAAAAGGAAAGGAAGAGAAGGAAGGAGACAAACACCCATTAATAAATCAAGTCTGATATACTGCTGGTAATCTGAACATAAAATGCAATCTGTTTACAAAGAATTTTTGCCTTCTGGAAGTTGGAACATGCAAAAATGACAAGCCTGAAAATATTATTTTTAAAACAAAGAAAGAATCTGTATGAAAAATCTGAACAGAGAGAATAAATTGCTACTTACTGCGATTCAGATTAGGACACTGCGTTATATATCCGTTAGGTATAAAGATGACTTTCACATCTTGAATAACACCCTTTGTAAAAGAAGAGAAAACTGGTAATACAGATTACAAGCATTCACTTAGATCTGTTGCACAAGTCATTTAAATGGGTACAAAAAAATTGATCAGCTCACTCTTCTTATGATGAGAATATTTTGCCCAACTAAAGATGGACAAAATATAACAACTCCTCCTCCCTATCCTCCTGTGTGTTTGGATATTAATTTTCATAAAACACAGAGATAATACTGCTTTGTCTTTTGCAATCACCAAATATAAGCTGCTTAAATGTCTTAAAATAGGATGAGACTGGTGAAAAAGCAGTGAAATAATATCCATTATTCAAGCCTATGACACACTTTGCCAAAAGACAAAAAGAAAACGCAGCAGTACTCTTCAGTGATTTAGTCAAATAAAGACTGTGAAATCAAACATTACGAAAAGAGACATATATAGTGCAAGAGGTAAGTAAGAGCCTACACTTCAGCAGCTTGGTTCACACCAGTTCGTGTAATCATGGCATCAGTTAGAATTAAATCCTCTCTCTAACCCAGATGGAAAGCTCCTCTATCCAGGACTGGCAGAAATCAGGACTCCAAGGTCAGAGCCAGCTAGTGCAGATTGTATGAGGCCTGGAAACTGAACCATGCAGGACAGGAGAGAGAAAGGACCAGAAGGTCCAGTGCTGGCTGCATCCTCTGTTGTCCCTGTCTCACAAGGATGTCCCTGCTGGAAGCACCAGACACCAAGGGCTGCTCCGTATCCCTGCATACCTGGGTCCTGAAGAACCCTAAATCCTTCAAACGGCCTCTAAGTGCTGCAGCTTGCATTTGCTCTTTTAAGCTCAGTACAAAGGTCTTGCTCCATCTTTGACTGTACAACCCACTCACTCCACAAGATGAACCAGCTTCAATAATGTCACAGTTGCTAAGGGGGAGGAGCAAGGGAAAACAAGGGACTTGTAAGTGCTGCTATTTCCACTTCCCCTGACTGTTAATCAGATGTGGTGACATGGCTCTGTCTCCTCCCAGACACAGAAGAATTTCTTTAATTTGAATGGAAATTTATCATCGTGGCAGTTATTATCTAATTAAATCACTGATCTGTAAGACTACGTTTTAATTTTCAGTTAAATTTCAATAGAGTGAATCTTGCAGACCAAGGACATAGTCATGTGCTCAAAACATTGAACTCCACCCATAAATAAAATATAGGCTTCAGATAGCCCTTGAAGCCTGGCAAATACAGTAACATTTAACATCTATGCGTTCATTTGCTAAAACAGCAGAAGGTAATCAGCAAGCACCGTTTCCTGCTTATTGTTTCATGAGCAAATATTAACTGAAAATATTAATAGACATAATCAGATCACACTGTCTTTCTTGCAGGAGTATATGCGTTTACTAACCTTTTCATCTATGAGAATAATGAAACCATCATAATAATGAGAAGTAATACTGTCACCGGAAATAGAACATCCTGAAAGCCACTTTATATACTTTCTGCTAGCAGTCATCTGCGAGAAATTAGAACATGAGGCACAAAAATATATTTCACTGCCTAAGCCCCTCCAGTGAAAAGCTTAACCAAGAGCAAATGAGATTACAAAGTTTCACCAGACCATATCGCACAGCTAACAAGACATCATCCAGAAAGAAGTGATGTTTCCCTTAGCTTTTTCCTTTATAAAGTGCATATTGAACTTCATACATCTGTTGCATCAGAGCCCCAGCGTTCAATTGTGTTTTGGATAGATTTGCATTTAAATACAACTTGAAGAGGAAACATAACTATTTTTTGTGTCTTAATTTCTGGCTACATGAAAGCATGTTACCATGGAAAAATGTATTAACTTCAATTCACCAGTATAGATGCCTTCTAAGTCTATAAACCCTCTGAAACAGAATTAATATGATCAAATATAGAAGTGAACTTTCAAAGACCAGAAATTTCGCTGATGTATTTTTTTAATAGAAAGACTTCATTATAGGCAAATACTTATTACAGCCATAATTATTGTAACACATATGAACAAACTTCGACTATTCCTCCTTCAGCATTAAGTCTAAATTGCTGAGAGCTTTCTACAGCCATAGCCAGAAGGAGAATTAGGCATATCCAGCTCCCCAGGGGAAGCCCGGGGCTCTGGTTCACTTTGGCACAGGGTGGAGTTCTTCAGTCCACATTCTGTGAAAGGACACCAGGATTTGGCCTTGACAGGGAGATGTCAGTGGTCAAAATCTTACTTTTTTCTTTCCTTCCCAAGCAGACATCACCTTTATGTTACCATTAAAGCATTTGGCTAATTACAGCCAAAGCTTCAATTCAGCATCAGCACTCACTAGCTTGAAGAGCCTTCATCTGTGCAGACAGATTACCAGCCACAAGATTAAATTCAAGCCTGAAGCACTAAATATCAAGCCCATCCCACGAGGATGTAATACAGAAGCCCTGTTTATTGCACTTCTCATGTCTCTATTAAATAGAGGATTCCTCCCACATTCTGTGAAAAGGCTCATATATTCCATGAGCTCTCTAGTGCATTTTCATTTCCTCCTTTGCCTTTCACCCTCTTTAAAACCTGCGTCTCCCAGAGAGACAACGTGTGCCACGCAGCTGTGCAAGCTGCACCGGCCAGCGCTGCTGAAAGGCTCTGCACGGAGGCACCGGCAGATGTGCCCGACACCCTGTGCCTGCACAATGCCATGCCAACACCACTAGATCCGCGCTGTCCTCCCCTCCACAGGGCAGGCATGGTACAGTTGCTCTGGGCACTGTATTTGCCTCACCCTACTCCATGTGACTCTGAGACCAAAATGACTACAGAAGCCCAACAATACACACGATGCTGTGCTGTAAAAATACCAATGTGGTTCTCAAGCACCTACTATACAGTTCTGAGACACAGCAGCTGGATCAATAGAGGCTGCTATAGTAGATATGAAAATTGCCATCTTTTGACATGAATCACCTAGTCAGCAATGCATTAATCAGCTCATTTCTGCAGCAGCTCTTTGGAGGGAGCCTTAGGGGGAAGGCTTCTCCCCAGTGATGAAATGAATTTTGCAGATAATTCAGATGCTGACAGCAATCAGATCCATCCTAGAGTGAGGGTTCCCTGGATGTCTGGCATCACTCTCTTTCTCCTTTCACTCACATTTACTTTGTTTTCCTAATCTGATTCTAACAGCATTCTTTAGACCTAAAACAAATCTTGCTTTTGGGCCACACAAAGAAACCTGAAGAGTCAGCATGTATTTTCCAAGGAAGTAATTCCTGAGATTCCCTTCAAAGCAAACAGACAAATCTATCTTAAGTCTGCTCTGCATTTGCTCCCACCACTGCTGTGCTAAAACCTTTCCATCTTGTCTGAACTCAAATGCTTGCTCATAGCAGGTAAGCTACAAGTAGTAAGAGAGACCAGTTGTACAGGGCAAGACCTCAACTCCCTTGATCATGCCACAGAGCACTTCATTCCCCAGCGAGGCCACAGACACAGCAGGGCCACTTGTGGAATAATCACTGTAAGTAAAGATGTAGAACAAAAGCATAAATTAAAACTCGCTACAGTGACTGATGAATATCATATTCTCTCCTTCCTCTTCTGGTATTACAATCTAAAATAGGCATGAGAATATGACCCAAAAAGTGCTTTAATACTATTCATTTATGGAGAAATACAATAATTAATTAACTATCATTAAAGTAAGAAAATTTTGGAGTGGCAAAGATGATACTCAGTATCCAGTGCTTTCTGTTACATACATTATCATGGCTCCAACACACATACAAAAATGCTAGTTCTTTTTTAACGGTTTTATTTCCCTGCAGATCTCTGTTTACATTAAGGAAAAGGCATCTATTTTTTTTAATACACAAAACCAGTGAAACTAATTGCTCTGAAAAAGAAAGGGAAGTCCTGCTGAGCATGTAAACACATGGAAAGATGTGTAATCTTTACAAACTGGCAAAATCCCAATCTTTTGCAATAAGTACCATTTTTAAAAAAGTAAGATTTCTGATACTCTCAAGCAGGATTAAAAAAATACAACCAACTATATTTCTGCCCTGAAGACAGTAAAATATTCAAGTATGCATAAAGCAAAGTAAGGCACTTGTCAGCTTTCATTACGATCAATAAAAACTGTCAGCTCATTAGCATATCATTAGCTACCCTGCTGTTTCCAAAGTGTTAACGTGTAGAAATATTAATTTACAAACATATAATATCCCAGAGTTCTGAGGCTCTGACTGCCTGCATAAAATAAGAATTTAAGATGGGTGAACCCAATATAACTTCTTTTTTTCCTATGTAGCTATAAACATATGTTTACCATCTGCAGAATTATGGGAAGCAGCTGAGGTAAAAAAACAACAGCTGTAGAATAAAATAATACTATCAATTTCACTTCACAGTGACAGCTCAGCTGCTAGAGGATGAAATGTTCTCTAGGTTCAGAACAACTCTCAGACCATCACTGAAGTTAAAAGTTAGCTTTTAGCTCTGTTTCACAATTAAGATTGTTAGTTGCTATGCTTAAATAATTTTAGCATAAAATAATTGTTCTAGCTTGTCGAAATCTGGGGACTTCGAGGAGAGGTCCTCAGAAAAACAGCAACTTGTAAAACTGTCTTATGAACTGACAGCTTCAAAGCAAAACTGAGTGGGTGGTAAATCACCTTGGCAACAAATCCATGCCAATATCGAGGATAGCAGATTGGCCTATCACCGACTATAGACTCTTGCACTGATAAATACTTGCGCTGTGGCTTGTTATCCAAAACTTGAAGAAATGGCAGAAACTTTGCTATAGCTTCCTTACTAAGCAAAGAATTAATTTTAAAGTGGAGGGAGTGTTTTTCATTTGTTGGTGAATTTTGTTTGTTGCTTGGTTCAGCAACTCGCCTGGAAAATCATATAACCTCACCAGGGGCCAAAAAAAGCTGACAGAAAATGTACAGGAGATGGCTTTTGAAGTGGTAGGTCATTTCTCTGTCCTTTCCAACCTTGGAAATATATTGCCATTAACTGAATCTGGAATATATTGCCATTTCATGAATCTTTTTCATCTGAAAAGCTCCTCATGCCGACACTGGCATACTCAATGATGATGTCTTGGGGACCCTCATAAATGGAAAAAGACTGCATTTCCAGCTAGAAGGTAGAAGCAGCCCGAGTCCTAGCCAGCCTTTCAGCCTGCACTGTTTGGAAGCAATGGAAGCTCCAAAGGATAAAGCAGCTCATGAACAAAACCTGGCGACCCACTATTCACTCTCTGTTGAGAAACACAAGTCACGCTTTGTTGAGATAAAAAGAAAGGAAGGTACTCCAGTAACAGAAAAATCTCCTGTTCGGCAGCAAGGCAAATGCACTGCATGCAATAGCTAGTATCTGCCAAAGCCAGAAGGACCACAGGCCGGAAGACCTTCTCTGCTCTAGAAGTCAGTGTTGATGGGGGAAAACGAGGAAGAGGAAGCGTCACCCAAGGCAAGCAGCAGAAGGGTGTGGGTATTCTGCATATGAATCAAGGAGGAAATTCTGCTCTACAAGTCAGTGTTGATGGGGGAAATCGAGGAAGCGTCACCCAAGGCAAGCAGCAGAAGGGTGTGGGTATTCTGCATATGAATCAAGGAGGAAATGATTGGAGCCCAGAGCAAAGCTGATGTTTCAGGAAGGTTTAAAGGTGCGAGCCAAGAATAGACTCTTACGTTGCCTACACAGTCTCGTTCTGTCCCCAGGAGTGGCAAGGCAGGCCACAGCCCGTAGGTGAAACCTGAAGTAAGGAAACCAAACAAAACCCTCAAATACTGGGCACTGCGGTCAGTGACTACAATACTCTACCTTGCAGGAAGAGACCCTTTTTTCTAAGTGTTGGACCTACCTCAAATCCCAAGCCCACTGTTTCTACTAAGATTCATACAGATCAGATTCCAGGAGTATAAGATAACTAAACAGAAATAACTTGCTGACTATTTATTTCCTTCTTCACGTGCCATTTCATATCTGCTTACCTTAAAGAAGCCATGTTTCCTGTTTCGTTGCCCGAGCCATAAATTGCTTTCAGGTGTCAGATTTGTTTCTGGGGGATCAATGATGCGTTCATAAATCCTGTAGAGGGAATACATTGCCATTACTTGAATCCTCTTTTTCCTCTGAAAAATTCCTAGTCAAAAATCAGTTAATGATAAAAGATGGAAAGTAGAACAGGGAAAAAAAAATCCATTAAACATAATATTTATCACTGATAGTTTTGCAGGTATATTACAACCTTAAAAGAAGAAAAAAAAAATAGGAAAAAATATTAAAATCATTAGCATATGAAGACTGCATAAAATTGAAACTCCTCTTGTGCAACGGTGCAGCACTAGGCTGAAGAAACACAATGCCAGAACCCACCGTAGCAGGGAAAACAATAAAATGGGACCATTGTAGCCTAGAGGTCTCCTTCACACTCAACTACCCAGTCTGGAGAAAAGGTACAGTCACAAACAAGATCCAACCAGGGAAACAGCCCTTTGGGATTTTCAGACTGTTTACAGTTTTGAATAGACTTCACTAAGAAACTATTCCACCTCTACTCCCATGGCCTTTTTGTCTCTACATTTGCGGTACTCCTCCTTGCACTTAGACCTTTTGTTTTATCCACTTCTCCCCTGTTTGTTGCTGTTACTGAATTCACGTGGCCCGGGTTCACGTGTCCTGCCACTACTGCACATCCAGCTTGCCCATGTCACTGGTACAGGTCTGATACAGATGGGGACCTCTTTGTATATGTTTGGTACCTAGCACTATAGTGATATTTCCTTGGTTATTCTTCAAGGAACTAGAAATAACAACAATAAGAAAAAACAACGACAACAAGCAACATAAGGTCCATACGCAAACTTTACGTACTGCATAAACTTGCACAGGAATGACATACTCTACATACCAAATCTCTAAAATTAATTAATGAAAAATTGCTGTAACATAGCATTTTTCAAATTGACAAAAATAAGCATCTGGAGTTGTAAAAGGGTTTTCTGGGATGACACGTGTCACCTTCTATGGCTTTATCCATGCTTGACCAATACTTCATATTTGCCAGATGTATAACTAGATTATATCTACTGCACTTCCATTTCATGAAGTGCTGATCTAGAGCTTCTTAGAGATCAGTTTCCAATACATTTGGTTTCAATACTCACACAGAGAAATGCGCAATACACTTCACAAGAACAGGACTGCTTAGAAAGAGAACTCCAGGGAACTGTGGTCTCTAAAATTACTGCAGAGTGAATAGCCCTTCCAGCATGAGGAGACCCAGGTCTCTAAGTTAATGGAAGCTCTACTCCACACTTCAGACTTTCAGATTTATGATTACTGCACTCACTTTCACAAAGCTTGCTTTGCCCCTACTTTATGCTGACAGATTTCAAAGAAGCTAAACCATAAACCTGGAGTAAAACAACCGTGAACCAATCCTTTCTTGAAACATTCATGCTCAGAATACATTCCCTAACCACTGATCAATGCATTTAGCTAAGCGTGGTGAGTAAATACCTGTTAATTGCCAAAGACCCATTATATCCTTGTGTTTTGTATCTCTACCTTACCTGCACACTTTGCTTTATTAAGTATTACTATGCAATCCTCAGAAACAGCTTTTTCAAGGACACATTCCAAACAGGCATCTGTGACATAATAAATACAACATACAGAAAACAGAAAATCTATCAAATAATCAGTGGATTCCTGAAAGGGAGTGTATCTAAAATATGTGCATGCAAATACATGTACACACATCTTTCTCTGCATAGAGGAAGAGCCTCTCTGGGATTAAGATCTATTGGACAAGACAACACTTCCCTTCCATGCATGCAATCTAAAATTATTTTTACCATCTTTATAATGTTCTGGTAGAATAAGGAAATACATTCATTTTACATGTGTGCAAACTGAAACACAGCAAGACTAACTGATTAACCAAGATCACAAACACTGAGTCAGAGAGGGACACTGCCCAAGATCTAAGCCACTAGGCTGGGCAGGACAGAGGCGTAACTGCCTCATGCACTGGGCCACACTCCCTCTGGAAAAGACGTGACATAGAATTGTCTCTTGAAGTGAAGATTTCTTATATGCAACTTTAACAAGCCAAAGTTAACACTTGGAGAGCATTTCCACTTTTGTGGAGATGCAGCTCTTCTTCATACATACAATATTCGCCATGCCAGAAGCATTTTGGAAATAGCTGCAATATTTAGCAGAACATGAAAATAAACTCTGTGTCTGTTCACATTAGAATACATCAGCCAACATGGACTGAACGGGAGATGCAACTGCCTAAAATTCTGAACAATAAAAAAGACTACAACTCCAACAGTTACTACAAGGAAGCACACCAAATCACAAAATTTCTAAATTCTTTCAGGTCTAAAATATGAGTAGGTTACTAAAAGAGAAATATGTCTTCTCAAATTCGTGGACTAGGTATGAACCAGAGACATTTCTTTTATTAGTAATACAATTAAGAAACAAATAGCTGCAGTCTAAATATTCCTGTGGCTGAGGCACAACAGGAACCTCATTTCTCAGTCCCTGGTCTCTACTGATCCAAGAACGGGCTTTTTTTTCCCCCGATATGGCTGCCACTCTTACTCTCATGAAGTTATGAATCTACATGTAGCGACCAGGTGCTGAATTCATTGCACCCAATTTTAGATGTCTCAAAAGCTGACGCCTACAAGTGGAGCTCGTCCTCTAGACTCACTTATTTAATGAAGAGACAAATGTTTCTAGGGTGTGATTCATCTTACAGCAAATGAATCACTCTCTGAGGGTCCCTCCAATGACTGCATAGAAGCACTTGCTGACATTAGAGTGAATCATCAAAACAGATTTTTGCAATTCAAAAGCTGATCCTCAATACTGACATTCTCTTGCAACCATTTGTTTCCCTTTATACATCCATCCGGATCCTCAGACCCTTTAAATAAACTGAAGGGTATGGAGAAGTCACACAAAATAATGCACTGTTCATGGCAGAGGCTTTGAAATGGCACTCTCAGCTGCGGTGACAGAAAGTCAGAGGAGAGAGGGAGGTTCCCCCATATTTTGGATTAGTCTTCCTCCTAATCTAATTCACAGAGGTGTGGACCAGCTTGACCACTGTTAGCATCTCCAGATGAGGCTGCAAAAATCAATATATCTGAAAAAGCAAATGTAAAACCTCCTAACACAGCCATTGTATAAAACTAACCAGCCACTTCAAAAAGTTTGTCCCACATGTTTTTGGAATCCCAGCTGCATAAAGAAAACGATGATTATATCAGTCCCTAGCTTTAAGATAAAATATCGGCATTTGTCTTTACATCTATTCTTCTGAAGGGATTAAGAACTGATTTTGAAAAGAAATAGTAGGATATCTTTACATATTTCTCTTTCAACCTATTTTCTGTATGCTTCCAATGAAAATGTGTCAATACCAACATGATTGGATTTTCTTGATAGTGTTTACAGATAGGACACATTATTTGACATGCATTCAGTTCTGGAACAACTTTAACTGAATTATTCATTCAGTTTTCAATGTTGTGTTTCAGAAAAATAATCTTCCTGAGGGAAATTTTGATTTTTCATGCTATCTCCTCTGTCATAGCATAGGAGTTCACAATCACTTAACAGAGGAAAGCAATTTAGATTAAAATCTCAGGTTTTGAGGGAAGCCTTTTGTTATTAAATTCTGAATATACAATAGCAACTGCCAACGATTTAATAAAAAGTTAGTGTTCAGCTCTGGGAGAAAAAAAATAGGAGGCGTCCAGTGATAGTATACGCTAGACTCAACAGTGCATGCTCAGTTTTTAAATTCTCTTCAAACTCTGTCACCCAAATGATTTCATTCATTTTCCTGTATAATCACAAAGTGAATGTACTTCACTTTTCAGTTTAATTGTTCCAACTACAAATCTAAATTTCAAAAATGTATCTAAATAAAACTCTATAAGCATATTTTTTTTCATTCAAGAGAAATGCAAATTAACTTTCAAGACTCTCTAAGGAACAGGATGGAATTAAAAAATGCAAGTAAAGATGGTTAGATGACCATGTTTCACTCTCAGGTTTGGGGGTTGAATTCTCTACACATAAACTGAATAAAGGTAAAGTCCCAGATATTTTCTGCCCATGTGGGTCTTTCTTTACAAAATGCATTAGGCTTTTCAGCTTCATACAAAGTTATCAATGAATCTCAGCAGCATTTCTTGGGCATTAAACTAAAACCAATCCTTGTTATTGATTCAAAGTAGAGGACTGGACCTACTAAATGATGTGACATTGGCCACATGAAGGGGAGAAATCCATCTTTCTCAGAGTACTACACCTGTATGGTATCTTTCATCTGGAACTCCTGAGGTGAATTCAAACACCTTTACAAATAAGGTCAATATTATTAACTTTACTTTGCAAATGTAGTGTGGAGGCAACGGCTATGTGGTGCTTAGCTGTCTACCAACACAACAACAAACTTGTTCTTTTAATAGGAATCCTGAAAGTCCATTTTGACCCGGTAAATCTGAGGCAAATAGCATGTGGTTCATGGTTCTGGCATTGCCCATAAAACTTGCACACAATCTACAGGTAGCAGAAGCACAAGAATGTACTTGTCACTGTTTCTGGTGAAGATGCCAACTTTAACCATATTGAGCCTCCTTGGCTACAGCAGTGCTTAAGGTGGTGTCTGGGTCAAAAGAATGCCTCGCTTGAAGTGCTGAGGGAGAGGTTATCTAGATACAGAGACTTTTCTTATAAAAATCAACACCCACAACTCTTATAAATTAATGTGAATTTAGGTACTTACCTTTAAACATCTCAATATAGTGTTGAAAGCCACATACCTCAAATACCACTTTTCAAATAAATACCTGACTCACCAAAGATATTTTGCCGTCTTTCTAGTACTTGTGAGCAACTATCCCTATCCGAGTACAACAGCAAAAAACATGCAGCAGTAGGTATTTTTGTGATACACACAAGCATCCACTAGACAAGGAGACAAATCCACTTATAAATGAAGACAACACTAAAACTCACAGGGTCACTAAAAGACACCCTTTAACCTCAGCAAG